ATTAAGAAAAAGGGAATTTCGCATAATCAAAGAAAGATTATCGAATTAGAGAAATTTATGTTACTACGGTAACAGCATGTTTAATGGAAAAAAATGTGAATGGTATATTAGAAATGATGATCTCAGATTAGTAACCAAACATTTTGAACCAAAATGGCAACTTGTACAAAATAGCTATTAGATCTTTGCAAATGCTCCAAAACCATATCGAGAAGATGTTACATTTAAATGAATATTAGCAGATAAGATCCCAGATATAACTAAATTCTCTCCAGAACAAAGTACGGTTATTGTTTTTGAGGATCTATATGCTGAACCCAAAAAAGTGCAAGAACGAATTATTTCTTACTTCATTAGTGGCCAGCATCAAAATGTCTCACCTATATATGTGAGCCAGAAATATACACAAACACCTAAAATTATTCGTGAAAATATCTCACATTTATGCCTATTTCAGGGATCAGGTAGTAGAGATAATATTAGTAGAATCGTACATCAATATACAGATGATCCAAAAAAAACATCCAAGATTATTGATAAGCATTTGCAGGATCGAGAATTCGTGGTTTTTGATTTTACCAAGGCAGTAGACGATTCACTTGCTATTAGATTGGGTTGGGATACCCCATTAAAATTAGATGAATAAAGCATGATATCAGATATAAAAACCACTTCAAGTTTCTGAATGCTTATATAAAGAACTAAATATGACTCACCCTCTTATTCTTCTGGAGTTACTTGAAAATATATTCAGTTTCTTGGCTAAGGATAAAGCACTCTATCCAGTATTATTTGTCAATAGACTTTGTATCACTGTAGTACTTCGATTCTATGGAGACACATTGAGTTTTCTATAAAAGGTTATCAGCAGAACTGATGTAATAAAAATATATCTGGACCTCTTTATTGGCAATTAATAAAGTTTAAAAGAGTTATATGCGAAAAGACAAAACCTCTCTATTGCTCAAAGATGATATATCTCAAATTGGCGGGTTTAAAAATCTCGGATGCATTACTTCGTGAAATTTTGTACTCATGCCCGAATATAAACTTTCTTATTCTTGATCGAAGTTATGGTTTTAGTAATATACCAATTATAGAAATTGCAAAATATTATCCGAAGCTACTACATCTGAGTCTTAATGTGTGTAAAGCTATTACTGATAGATGCGTTAGTGAAATAACACAATCTTGTCCAAATTTAAAATATATAAGTCTCGCTTCTTTGTATAGAGATAGTAACATTTCCAGTACATCTGTGATTGAAATAGCACAATCTTGTTCCAATTTAGTATATTTAAACCTCAATGGACAACCTTCTATTAATGATGAATCAATTTGTGCAATTGCATGCTCATGTGTAAATCTTCAACACCTGAATTTGTCGTTCAATGAAATAATTACGAATAAAACTATATGTGCGATTGCAACTGGTTGTCCAGATATGCGAAATTATTTCTCGAAGGCTGTGAACGGATAACTGATAAATCAATCAAAAAAATTGCACAGTTAAATCGAAACCTACAAAAGCTTATTCTTACTTTTTGTTACAAAATTACAGATTATGCTGTATGTAATGTAATCTGTTCATGTTCAAACATTCAGAATTTTAGTTTTCAATATATTTATATCACTGATAAATCAATATATGAAATTGCACATCACTATTCAAATTTATTAGTTCTCAATGCAAAAAAATGCCTGTTTATTTCTGATGAATCAATCTACTATCTATTAAGCAAAAGACCAGCACTAGAGCTAATATAGATTATGATAAAATCACGTTTATATGATTAGTTTGATAATAGAATATTTTTTCAGTTGTAATTTTATTCTATTAATATTAATACATTCTATCTGCCACTTATATTTTTGAGCTGACCGAATTCTACCATGTTTGAAGTTAGAGTGGATATGCAATAATAACAAGTGCAATCTATTATTGTCACTAGGAATTTTTGTGTTAGATGGAAATGGGTTGACATATAAAAATTAAAGTAGAGTCAAAGACTCATGATTATGCCATAAAAAAATGTTTGGAGGCACGTAAGTGCCATTATTCCATAATAAAAGATACGTGTCATTATCTACTGTTTGTAACACATTCTGCATCCACTTTTCTGGTTTCGAGTGATAGAGTCATGAGAAGGCAGAGTTGATAAATTGAATAAATATAGTAGATGTGATAGGTATTAATATATTACACTTCTAATTGTTGGAGACGCTTACTGAATCTATCTTGTAATTGGTTTTTCTTTCTACCTATCCAATCGTATGGAATATAATATTCTTTATATTTACTATTATAAAAGTAACTAAGCATTTGTGAATTATTACATCTTTTATACATTGCAATTTTCTCAGTTCTCCACTGATTGAATTGATCTTGAGTTTGGAAATTTTTCCCTTTACAAGTAGTTAAACCTAGAAATTTTTTATCATCAGAAGTACCATCATTTCTCATTGCATTCCAAGTTTGGGTTGCTAATGATTCAGGTCTATTCTTATAATTTTGATAAGCTATTTGTATAATTCTTGCTTTTTCAAAATCAGTCTTTGGTTTATTACATTCGTGGTCCCAATATTTCTGCATCAAATCATCTAGCTTAATAATTTTGACATATCTTTTTCTAGTGAAATGGAATGATTTCTTTGGTTGTACGTCATTAATTTTTATGAGTTTCCAGCAATCGAAGCAAATAGTCATATGACTTTTATGAATCTTTGGTCTGTAGTAATCAAAATTGACAAATTTATCTTTACCAAATGATATAAATAAACAATATCGATGATATACACTAAATTTTCCAGCGGTTAATAAATCTTGTAATGGAATTCTTACTCATATTGCCCATTGAACCGGTGTTTCATTCTGTTTTATGATAGACAATGTATCAAATAATCTCTCATTATTGAAAAGTTTGTCATATCGTTTACCATCAAAAGCAAAATAATTTCCAATATATTTTGTAACATATTTCATATCATATCCAGGACAAATATTAAAAGGTTTGGGTAATGTTCTATCTTTCTTATTGAGAATAGTTATAACATCAAAACCAGGCATATTTATTGCTTATATATTTAACGGTTTTAGTATTTTTGACCTACCTATTAAATTTGGTTCTTTATAGTATAAGAATATATGATTCATTTTAGTACAGATGCTTGAAGAGCACTCCATAGGACCTGAGTTATTGGATTAGTTATGTATATTCGTCATATTTTGCGAGTGAAATAATGGGAGAGATCCATATATTATGATCTATTTTTAACACGAATCTATTTCAGGTATACTAATTAATTTCTGGTGTGGCTTAATACTCTATTATATGCCAGCGAAACAAAAAACAACTTAGCATACAATAATTAAAAAATCAGGCATGTAGCGCTATAATCATATCTTTAATTTTTTTTAAAAATAATTATATTGAGAGTTAGAGGTTGGCTAAGTAAAAATATAGAGAAGCAGGATTTCAAGGGAGGAAATTTGCTGAGCCCTAACCCATATGATGACAGTTCCTTTCCTGCTACTCACTACCTAGGTTATTTGTTTTACTATCGATCCATAAATCAATTTGATCTAAAGTACTAATATAACCATTCTTCTTTTTAATATTTCTTTCATAAAACTCTTGTGCTGTCGTCTTCTTAATATTCTCTCCCAATGAACGAATGTTCATAGCTACAGAAACGCACATCTCCTCCAAAGTATAATTATTATCAGTCATGATCTGATCAAAAATTTGCTTAAATTGATTCCAGACGGCCAAACTGATACCCATGAACGTTAATTATCCTGAGTTTGCAGAGGAATAATTTGAAGCTTGACCTGCAGAATGATTGGAAGCTTGACTCATCACGCTTTGTTGATCGAATTCAATCTCTTCAGTTCTTAGAATCATCGCATAATGTTGATTTATTTCACCTTGAAGAGTTACGATAGAAGCATTGATTGATTCGAATTCGGTTACGACTCTACCAAAATTGTTATGGTAGTTTTGAAGAACTTGTTCGATCTCATCAAGTCTCACAGTAGAAATATTAAGCATTGTCAAGATTCTTTGGATCTCTGCTGTAAAGTTTTCATCACATAAGGTAAGGATGCTTGTCTAAATCCTTTCAGAAAAATATCATCATAATTTTGATGGGTTACACACTAATTATTAATTAGAATTTCGACATAATTTCAGTTACGACGGGTTTCAAAATTTGTCAGAATTTCGACAGCTTATTTACTAATAGTTTATTATAATTTCGACAGAATTTAGACAGTCACTAAGAGATTTCGGCAAGCAACCTTAACGTAAGGTAAGTTCAGCGTTAAATTTGACACGACAATCAGCATCGCGATTGGCAATAATTTCATTAAATGTTGTATTATGTGTAGAAGGGTCGAAATTATGCTTGATGTCGATGTCTTGTTTGATGATGCGTGAAAAATAGGCTCTTAGAGCCATTACTTCGTAATAAAACGTGGCATCAATGAGCAAGTAAATGGAGATTTTCTGGACAAACATCAATAGGCCAGCGAAATCCAAAAATGAAGCGATCCCCAAAACTTCAAGTGATATCATCTATAAGTGAGAGTTAGTCTATTAGCATACATACACGAATGCAGAGAAAGTGTCATAGTATAAACAAATCTTGATCATTAGAAATTAGATACATTTTTAAGTGTATGAATTTTTTTATTTATCGAGGGTAAGATTTATTAGCGGAGCTCACAAGACTAAAATTTGTTAAATGTTTTATTCTCCAAATTATCTCACGGAGTGAGGATGCTATCACATCTAATTATTATAATGAAGGAGTAAAGGGTCTCAGATATTTTTTCTCCGCCTTTTTATATAAAAAATTACAGATCAAAATTTATTTATAGACTTGGATGGGAACAGACGAGAAATTGCCAGAACTTTTATTGCAAAGCAGGTCTATAGGGACGACTCAGGTACGTAAGTATCATTTTTCAAAATAAAAATTATGGGTAACACACTTTACATCAATTTTTATTACAATAAAATATGACATTAGTATTAATATCACCATCTCTGATAATAATTCCAAACGTGGTTATTAACCTCCGTGAATTCAAATAATCAATTAAACTTGTAACTAACCTAATTAATAATCTCACTTTCGATCTGTGTTCTTAAATGAACGGAAGTAGCTAAATAATTCGCTGGATATGTAACTAACCAATTACAAAAATAATAGTGTTAATATTTCTTCCGGGGTATATATGATGAAATGCCATTCCATGACTAAAAATAAATTCACATTAGCGAGGGAAAATCACGTGCGCGTTCCGAAAAGAAACACTGCCAAAGTAAGTTAAGTATAGGATGAGAAGATGATTTTGGATACATATTGCTACGATTACTTTAAATGAAGGGTTTCTTCACTATTAGTAAAGGAATCATATGAGTTGAGAGAGAGTAATAGACTAATAAAATTGGTCAGTGCAAAAAAAAAGTATCTAAGCCTGTGCCAATTTCGATAGAAATTGTTAAATAATTCTATCAAGGATGAAAAGAGGGGTTGGGAGAGTGTGTTCAAAGGGACGATTAATGAAAAGGGGCTGCTAATTAAAGAAAAGGGTATTGATGTTTCTATACTTATAGTCATACGTTCTAGTGCTTTCAATACCAAAGAAAATGAATAACTAAAAGAAATATCACTTATTTAGAGTTGCGGT